CAAGTTCTTTCCAGTGAAATCTTTCCTCCTGTTCCAGATGTTGTGGTTTTCTTGACTTCAGCTCTGTTTTCCTACTCTGTAAAAATGCCAAAATCTCTTTCAGATTTCATAGGGGTCCAGAGGCGGGAGGACACAGTGCATCTGCTATGACTGCCTTGAAAGGTGATTTAAATGCAGACACTGCCGTGACACTTCAGGAAGAATCACTACATAGCTACATTAATTTTCAAAATCTTTTTTCTTTCCTTTTATGGTAATAGTGCTTTCAAAAATTTGGTTTATTTTATGTTCTATGTGGAGAGAGGGAGGTGAAAAAGTGGAGCAGGTTGGGAATTACTTTGTTACAATCAAAATATCCAGATTACTGGGCAAGTGTTATTCTGGGGCAGAGAAGGAAGTTTTGATTTTTTACTTCTCTGTGTATTAGTAACACGGACAAATGCATAAGCACGTCCAGGGAGGGTCAAACCCAGCCCGGACCTCAGAGTGGGTTAGCTGTGTGGCTGGCTTGTGGTGCATAATGAGGAGAACAAGTTCACTGTGTCAAAATATGACCACTATCAAGAAAACTACCAACAACAAATGCTGGAGAGGCTGTGGGGAAAAAGGAACTCTCCTGCACTGTTGGTGGGAGTGTAGACTGGTGCAACCATTGTGGAGGTCAGTCTGGAGATTCCTCAAAAAGCTGGGATTGGAAGTCCCATTTGATCCAGCTATTCCACTTCCAGGACTATTCCCGGAAGAACTGAAAGCATCATACCACAGCAATATATGTGCACCTATGTTTATAGCAGCACAATTTGTAATCGCCAGATCTTGGAAACAATCTAAGTGTCCATCAACTGAGGAATGGATAAAAAAGTTGTATTTTTATACAATGGAGTACTATTCAATATAAAGAATGATCACATTGAGATATTTATAAATAAATGGACGCAGCTTGAGATCATACTCATAAGCGAAATAAATCAAACTCACATGTATAAAACTGTATAGTCTCCCTAGTGTAAGAAACGGTAAGAATACATAAAAGTATATTGTAATTATGATTCCCCATTATATTGCTTTGAACACTTATAATGTTTTCATTCATTAGTTGGAATGGTTTTATTCTGGGTTGTTTGATTTTAATGTTTTGAAGTCCTACCAAGCTTTTGTTCTGTCTCCATTGGTTTTATCATGTTGTATCTTATTGTATTTTATTATGTGTGATAGTATAAACAAAATTTTTATGGACAAGGAGATAATATAGTAACCATTGTTCGTTTTCTGTTAGTTGGTTCTGAATACCCTGTAATACTTTCATTCTCTTGAATGGTTTTATACTATTTTGTTATGTTTGATACTATAGTGTATGAAGATATACTCAAATATTTCAAGGAAAGAGACCCTATGGTAGCTACTGTTATGTTGGATTGTCTTGTGGTGAAACACTATGTTGCTTAAATTGTTCTGTTCTGATTTGTTTTGTTATATCCTCTTTTATCTTAATCCTTTTAAAATAAAAAAAAAATATGACCACTGTGTTCTTTTTCTGACCACTGTATTCCTACATTAAAATAGTCAATTTTCCAGAATGTGTAAATAAATTTGGATTTTTGTGTATTCCCTTTGAAATTTCAGAGCCAATACGTCATCCACTGAGGCATACACAAAACATAACTTGAGAAAAATTATTGAAACACTTTGTTAATGTGCTCAAAGAGTAGATTTCTTTGAAGACTAACTTTTCTTTAGTGTAATGTTCTTCAACTTTCAAATGTGGTTTTTTGTGTATGTCTATATTTTATGGAGATATATGTGTAATTATATGTATGTTGTTTTTTGGTTTCACAGAATTTTTTATGAACTGTTCCTACTTAATGTGCTGGATGTAATTATTTTTACCTTATTTTATCATCAAGCTAGAACGCTAGTATTCCAACCCTCTTCAAAAGAAATTTTTGGAAGATCATCACCTGTAAGTCTTTTCAAAGATACCATAGCTGCTCTCTGACATTTAAATAAATAGGAAAGTAAATGGTGCCCACCAAATTGTCTATGTCAACACTTACCTCATCCACAGTGAGTGAAGCAGTTTTAATAGATTTTACACCATGTATCGAGAACATCTTTCTCAATACTAGTATTTCCAATTTCTTTTCTTCCCAGGCTTGCATCTAATGACTAAAAATCACTGGCTTCTCTGTCCCTTATGTATCACATAGGGAGAGCACACTTACTGCTCCTAACTTATCTTTCCTTTGATTTAGGAATTTTTCTGAGTTTAATGTATTCATCTGTAAAAGAAAACAGTTAAATTACATGAAAGTCTTTTTGTTGGTCAGGTTCCTTCTAGTTATTAAGAAATTAATGTCTGCTTATTGAAAAGTCAAACAGCATATTACTTCATGAAATAAAATTGTAGTTTCCCAACATTTCTCTCATTTGATCCACTTCTCCTACCCATGGCCCCCAAAAAGCTTCTGTTCAAATATTTTTATTATTATAAACATTATTGCATTATTCAAACATTTTAAATTACTATATAGTTCAAAAATATGTATTATAAAATATAAATGGAACTGTATTGTACATTCCTCTGATTTCTTTTCTAAACAAATATGATGAATACAATATCAGGACAGTACATATAATCCCATCTTCTTTTTTTCCTTTATTTTTTATTGGCATATGTTTCAATACAAAATAATTAACATCTACAGTGTCCTACCAAATGGTTGTGCATAATTCATGATTTGTTTTTGGCTAGAATCATGTGATAGGTTCTATTCAATGTTAAAATTTTAACTTCAAGTCCACTGATTATTCTTATGTATTTCCTGCTTTCATTTAGCAAATATTTACTGGGATATTTAGGTGGCAAGAACTGCTTTTCACAACTCCAAATGAATGAGTGATGAACAGCCAACTTGAACATATGCTGGGTTTAGCACATTTCCCATATGCCACTGAACCCAAGTGCCAGTGGGTGCCTCCTTGGCAGAACGAGAATGAACAGACAGGAAGGGGACATGCAGAAGTCACAGTGGTCCTCAGTCTGTCTGCACAGGTGGGTGTTTAGTTCTCTCGAAGAAACTTGAAGAGGACTTCTGTGACTTTCAACCTAATGTTTAAACAATCAGATTTTCTCCCCTAAAACAGCCCCAGTTTTAATATGGCCATGTGCTTGATGAAAAATAAATTCTAAAGGATACTATTATGATATTCAAAGAGTGTCTAGTAGATTAGTTATGTTATCCTTTGCAGCATCTCAGGACAGATCATATTGCTTTTGAAATACTATTCTTATTATTGCAGATATTTTATTATTAAGAGTAAGACTAATTTCTTTTGCACATCAGTCATTCATCGTGTAGGAGGACTAAATTGCTTTTCCTTCACTGTTTCGAATCATTGTGACGCTCCTGCAAGATGCCTGATGGCCCTCATTACTTCCATTGTATACAATAGGAGCCACAAGAAGCCAAGATGCTTCTAACATCTCTTTTCTCCTCAGTAAGTTGCCCCAGTACCATTTTAAGTAAGTAAAATACAAACTCTGTCACAGCATAACTAGAGATGTCAGGAAGCAGAAGGGTTTGGGTAATGGGCAGATCTCAGAAAAGATCTGTGGTTGGGTTAATATTAAGGTATTTTAAAAACTATTAAACCAGCAGCCATTCCTCATCCTTTGCGGTAACCTTGCTTGAGATAATCTAGTTGTTACAGCACATGATTTGAAATCTCAGTTGTCAAGTTGGTGGTTTTCAGCTTTCTTTTGTTCATCAATCACTGAGCAACTGTTTGCTCAAAGAAGTGCAGATTTTCCTTCTTTTGGTGTAATTGTACAACATTCTCTTCCATCTTCTTTTCAATCCACTCCTTGGCCTTAAAATTATAACTCACTTCATGTCTCCATGCCTCCATCTACCTATCTTTCGTAAGGGAAGAATGAACAAAAACAGTGAATTGTGAAAAACAGTGATTAGTTCAAAGATGAATTGTCAGGCACTGGGGAGGACGAGGGCCCTGGTAGACCCACCGAGCAAAGATATACCTGGCACCCGTGCCATCCTTGCTAACCAAATGAGGAAGCCTTGAGTCCTTGTGCTAGGCCCAATGGCCCAGCAGAACGTGAAGGTGTAAACTTCATTTCCATCTCTCCTCTGCCATAAATACATTTCTTTAAATACCAGTCAACACTCAGTTATCCACAGGAGGATTACCCGTGTCAGAATTGTCTTCTGCTAATTTCTAATCCACAAATGAATTTCCCCTGTTGCCCAGGGAGGTCTTTCCTGCCAGCCATAGTATCTGCTCAGAAAGTCAAGCTAATATTGACAATAGCTTGCGCAGAATCTAATTAAAGAACACGAATTTGCTGCCAAAGGGCGGAGGCAGCCATATGATACCTCCTGAGGCCAGACAGCAATGATGTGGGGATTATGTGCTGTTTGGGATTTTCTACATTACCACTCCCACCCACTGGCACATACAATGGAGAACTGGCTGCCCAACATGTTTTCAGTGACTGTTTCAGGAGTGACGCTGCTGATTAGCAAAGAGCTGTCGTCCCAGCACTTGTCCAACTTGGTAATTATTGTATTTTCTTACAACAAGTTCTACAGCTGCTATCCTATGGTTCATTATGTCTCCAAAACTTGGGAAATAATTGCTTTTTGGCCAGGAGATTATAAGCACAAAACTAAAAATTACAGTCCAAACGATTGGATACTGTTTATTTCCCAGATGATAATCAACTCATGACCTGAAGGGAATTTGTGGTCATCTGAAGCCATATCCAGCTATTCTTTCATGAATACATTACTTAACCAATGAAATCAGAACTGTCAATGCCAAATTACCCTAAACTTTCCATAAGATAATGTTCTGTTGAATGCATAAAAATTGTCAGTACAGTGACAGCAGAAATTCCCCAGACTTGGGCCCTTGCATTTTCTAGGAGCAAAAATAACACCTTGTGCTGGCTCCAAAAAGAATCCTCAGATACTTTTTTTTTTAATATGAAATGCTTCACGAATTTGCATGTTATCCTTGCACAGGGGCCATGCTAATCTTCTCTGTATCGATCCAATTTTAGTATACATGCTGCCGAAGCGAGCACAGTCCTCAGATACCTTAGAGAATGAGAACTTCATATATCCATCAAGCAAAGCTGTGATTTGTAACGATACCACCCTCCCTAACAAAAAGGGGAAAGCAGGGATCTTTTCAAAGGGACCAAATAGCCCAGAATAAGCAGGGCAAACAGATACAAAGTTTCATTTACATGTTTTGATAATCTTTATTTTTTTACTTTAAAGAGGAAAAAAAGATAAAAATAACAATGAAATGGATTTTCAAAACACGTTAGTACAACAATTACAATAGTTAATACATTGCATATTGTTGCCTTCATATACATTACTCAGAGTGCAAGATGAAATCTTTTCCAAACAATGTTGGCACAAACCTTTCTTTCCATTGAGAAACTAGCTGTGTGACTATCTCAACTATCTTGTGCATATCTATTTTTTTCTTTTTCATTTTTTACCTTGCCCCTTTCCACCACCAGTTATTTTCTTCTTTTGAAGTTTCTTCTCAGTTCACAATATCTTTTGTACCTTATTTACTCATTCTGTTTTTCACACTAGTGAGAAAATATGATATTTGAATATATGGGTCTGATTTACTTCACTTATGAGTACAAACTCAAATTGTATTCATTTACCTAGAAAAGTCTGCAGTGTATCTTTCTTTGTGGTCAAGTTGTACTCCATTATATTTTTGTAAAGTTGCATCTTTTTTATCCATTTCTCAGTTGGTGGGCATTTGGGATGTCTCTAGCATTCATTCATGATAAAAAAAACCTACTGAAAAATGGAATAGATGGTCTTTATCAAACTCTTATAAAAATCATCTATGGCAAACCAACAGCTAACATCATGTTAAATGATCAAATACACTCCGAAACTGGGAACAAGACAGGGATACCCATTCTCACCCTTCATTTTCAATATAATTCTAGAAACAATAACCAGAACAATTGGACACGAGGAAAAATAAAAGGAATAAATATAGGAAATGAAGAAGTTACATTATCATTATTTACAGATGACATGAGGCTCTACATATAAGACCCTAAAAACTCCACCAAAATGATGTAGATTTAATATCCAAATTCAGCAGTGTAGAAGGATACAAAGTCAACCCTACAAAATCAATAGCATTTCTGGTGCATGAGCAAAAATTTCACAAAGAGAAATTAGGGAAAGCACACTAGTCACAACAGTTTTTATAAATATATATATATATATATATATATATATATATATTTAATTGTATATATAATATATATATATATTTAATTGTATATATATATATATATATAAATATTTAGGAATCAGTCTACCAAAGGATGTAAAAGATCTGTACAGTGAAAATCACAGCACTTTATAAAAAGAGATTTAAAAAGATATCAAAAATAGAAAAATATCCCTTACTTTTGGACAAGAAGAAACTAAATAGTAAAATGGCCATACTTCCAAAAGTGCTATACAGATTTAATGCAATCCCAATTAAAATACCATTAGTATATCTCACAGACCTATAAGAAACATTTCTATGATTTATTTGGAACTTTAAAAGACCCAGAGTTGCAAACCAATTCTGGGCAACAAAGGAAAATCAGGGAATACCACAATCCCTGACTTGAAATTATACTACAAAGCTACTGTGATAAAATCAGCATGGCATCAGAAAAACAGACCTGAGGATCAGTCGAATACAATAGAACATGCAAACACAATCCCAAACACAATCTCAACCACCTAACCTTTGACAAGGGGGCTAAACATGTTCACTGTAATAAAGATAGTCTCTTTAATAAATAGTAGTGGCTTTCCACATGCCAAAGACTATAACTAGATCCACATCTATCATCATGCACTAAAATCAAAATGGTTCAAAGATCTGAATGTTAAAATAGAAACACTAAATTTATTGCAAGAGAAAGTAGGAAGAAAACTCAAAGACGTATGTGTAAGCAGAGAGTTCATGAACAAAACCCATATTGCAAGGGAAATATCACAAATAATCAACAAATAGGATCACATCTTATTAAAAAGCTTTTGAACAACAAAAGAAGTCAGCCACAGGGTGCAAAAACAACCCACAAAATGGGAAAACAATTATAGCCAGCTGTCTCATAGACAAAGAACTTCTATCTAGAACATATAAAGAGTTAAAAAAATTCAGACTCCCCAAATTCTAAGACCCAATCCAAAAATGGGCATCTGAAATGAATATACACTTCTCAGATTAAGAAATACAGATGGCAAATAAATACATGGAAAAAAAGTTCAACACTGTTGGTCATTTGAGAGACACAAATTAAAACAACATTGAGATTCCATCTCACTCCAGAAAGAATGGCTATTATCAAAAAATCAACTAATAACAAATGCTGGTGGAGCTAGGGATAAAAGTAACTCTTCTTCACTGCTGGTGCAAGTGAAGATTAGTGTAACGTCTATGGAAATTAGTGTGGTGTTTCCTTTTAAAAAAATAGGATTAGAGAGGAGAGTGCTCAAGAAGTGGGCAAAGCACGCTCTCCCATTAACCAGCAAGTGCACAAGCTGGGAAATCAGAACACCCCCACTCCATAAGCAACTGGCTGATTTGAAGAACTCAGTGTATGACAGCAACTAGGGTGAAAGGGATAGTGTGACTCTTAAGTTGTTTGATTGACATTGAAGGCATGGAACGTGTGGCCTGGACATCCATTTGGAGGATGGCAGTGTACATTGTGGCAACTGTGGGGGATTTCCTTTTGTCTTGTTTTTTGAAATTCAATGCTTTGTTTTATTTTACTGTTTGTTTTACTCCTGTTTCTGGTAACCTAAGCAACTATTTTGAAGATAACAATACGCAGCAAACAACCACTGTAAGTTCCTATCATCTTTTTTGAAAACCTATATAGCTATTGTTGCTTTGATGTTGTTGCTGTCATTGTGGTTTTGTTGCTGTTTTTGAGGTTGGTTTGCATCTTCTGTTTTTTTCTTTCTTTTCTTTAAAATAAAATAAAAGTGTACAATAGATTCTGTGACTTAGGAAGGAACTGTACAAGGGAAGGGACAAATTGTGATGGGGGAAAGAAAGAAAGGATAAGGGGAAATATGCATACATACAAGATAGCTGAGGTAGTTATACAGTTAGTTTTTGTTACATCATGCTACAATGGCATATCTGCTCCCATGTTTATAGCAGCACAATTTATAATAGCTAAACCTTGGAAACACCCCAAATTCCCATCAACCATGCAATGAATAAGAAAGATGTGGTATTTTTATACAATGGAATGTTACTCAGCTATAAAGAAGGATAATCTTGAAGCTCTTATAGGTAATGAAAGCATCTTGAGACTACACTCATAAGTGAAATAAATCAAACTCACATTTGTAAATGTATGGTCTTCCTAGTGTGAAAAAAAAAACTACTGAAAGAGTAATAAAATCCAAAATGTACAATAGATATTATGACAATGAAAGGGGAAAAAAGCGCTCAATAGAAAAGAATAACTAGAGGGCTGGGGATTTAGCTCAGCAGTATAAGCACCTGCCTGACAAGCATGAGGTCATGAGTTCAACCCACGGTACCAAAAAAAGAAAAGAAAAGAACAACTAGGATAGGGGACAGGAGAGAAAGAAGAAGGGAAAAGATAATATGTATATAGGGACCTTCCTCTCATCCCAGAGACCTGGGACATCCATGGATCATCAGCTGCCCCTCTTCTTGCCCCCCAGATGTGAGACGACAGTGGGATCATTGCTGCCCCTCCTCTTTGTCCTCCAGACCTGGGACAGCTGTAGATGGTCAGCTATCCCTTCCCCTGCATCCTGGACCTGGGAGAGCCATGGGATTGTCAACTGCCCCTTCTCTTTGCCCCCTGACCTGGGATGGCTGCAGATCATTGGCTGTCCCTTTTCCACATCTAGGAGAACTAGGCCAACTTGGAACATTATTAGGACCTGGAAGGCCACAGTTCATCAGCCACCCCTCCCCCTCACTGTCTGGAAATGGGAAGACTGCAGATCATCAGCTGGCCCTCCCCCTAAGCACCCAGATCTGGGTCTGCTGCAGATCATTGGCTGCCCCTTCTCCTTGCCCCCTGGACCTGGAAAATCCACCATCATCAGTTGTCCCTGTTCCTAATCCCCCAGACCTGGGACAGCAGTGGGTTTTATGTCACCTTTCCCCTACATCCAAAAGACAAAAGTAGCCCATTGACAATCAGCCACCTTTTCCACCTCTTGCCATGCCTTTCTGGGATTATGGGAGACTCAGCAACTCCTCATCCAAGCAGAAGACCTCAGCAGGCTTGTGACACTGTGGTGAATTCCCCTCCCCCCAATTAGAGGACCTCAGTGGGTAAACAGGATCAGTAGTAAAGTCTTCCCTACCTGTAGGACTTCAGTGAGCCTAACAAGAATGTGGGTAAGTAAGAATGTGGGAACATCAGGTGGGTTGAGGAGGGTGCTGATAAGGTCTCTCACGACCTAAAGGAAATCAAAAGGGATTATGAGTCACCCAGTCACACAGTAGGGTCCCAGCTGCCAGGTAGATCTGGGGGGTTGGAACAACCCAAAGCCATAGTAACAAACTAACTTACAGCAATACTCCTAGGCTAGTCAACCTAAGAAGAATAGAGGACTCACCCAACAGGCCCTGCAGAAGGAATTCAGGTAACTTGCCCTCCCCTTCATTTTGGGACCCAGCAACTGGAAAAACATCAACTACACAGTAGGACCTAAAGACATACACTGCAAACAGTTGAGACTAGTGGTATTGAAAGACCAAATATTAGCACAAGAGGTTAAAAATGACAAAATGAAAAAGCAAAATGCAATCTCCAATAACCAGTCCATCAGGAACAGGTACAGGTGACATTAAAATGGAGGTTATGAAAAGTCATACATCTGACATTTCTGAAAAGATGGACAATGAAATTAGAAAACAAATCCATGAGGCTACAGAGGAAATCAGATTAGAAATAATCTTTCATGTAAAAAAAGAAATGACAACCTTAATAAAGGAGTTGCTTAGTATAGCTAGAGAAGACACAGA